TGTAGCAGGGTTGAAAAGACCTTCAAACCCCCAGCAGGGTGAGTGTGAGTCATCCAACAGACCTCAGCTCTTGGCGAGTGAAATACAGTGTGAAGTATGGCCCTGATTGTCTAACTCCATGTTCACACTGATGCTACAACAGAGAACTCAGACACACATCACAGACGCTTGATATATTCTACACTTGTGCATGCACACATATACATAGACACATGGACATGCATCAGCGTCGGCGCCCCAGAGTTTACCGTTATCCTCAGTGATTCTACAGCTGTTAAAATATTTTGTATCTACACAATGTAGCTCTCCAGATCTTCTTTTCCAACTCGTTTCTAAACCGATAAACACATGCACACACACAAGCTGAATATAAATTCCTCATCACTCATTCACATAAATACACACAGACTCACCAGACTCTAGCCCGTCTGTTTCTATTAATGGTAATCAGCAGGGTAATGATGACGGAGCTGTGACTGTGGCTTACTTACTGGTGGCTGATGGCCATGCTCTCTGACAGCTGTCAGCCGCCATGACTACGCTGCCAGGGCCCTCCTTAGGACTTATTTCAGCTCAGCACATCAGCTGCAACAGCACTTCACACACAGACTTGTTGATTATCAGCATCAGCGGGGCCGGCGTGGAAAGACTCCTCTGACCGCCTGTCTGCTAATGACAGCCACCATGATGGTGGATGGGAGAAAGAGGACACAGCCTGTCACTTTGATTCACGCAACAGCAGCTCCAACTGGGTGGCTCCGCGCCAAAGTCTCGACAGTCGTTATATCCCCTCCTAAATGACATTTAAAGTGTGAAGCAATGGCTGTCCTTGTGGCTCAGTCACCCCAGGCTGGACCCCGGACATGGGCGCTGAACCCTGTGCCAAGTTTTGCATTGAGGTCACAAACCCCCAGAGCAAGTTTTCCTCACTCAGATGCTCTAACTCAACTCGCTGGCATGATTGAATTTGTGGAAAGTGACCTTGAAGAACAATGTTGTCAGTGATCTGATTTATGCTGGATTTTCCTTTTTTTCCGCCGTCTGTTTTGTTTTGTTTGTTAGTTGTTTTTTTCCTTCTCTGCTGCATTCTCTCTACGCCTCCTTTGGCATGCAAACTATATCTATTACCTACATTCTTTTAAAGCTTAAGGCGATACAATGAATTACCTTTAATGTAAAATAAACCATTCAGAAGCGCTGAGGGGTTGGAGAAGAAATATTGTGAATTTTTCGTGGATCCTAAAAACTAAATATTTTTTTTAAACAACCTTGAAATATTGTTGCTGAATTTGTATATCAAACTAATTGCGCAACATCCTGTAAATATTTGCTATAATTGCTTGTACAAGGATACAAGACGGTATTAAGTTACTCAAATTAAAATTCTAAGGGAGCAAAGCAATTAAATTGCACAGTACAGCAAAATAAAAACCAACATTGGTCTTTGGAGAGACTTTCAGATGTAGAAGTGTTCAGTTTTTGGCTAAGTAAAGAAAGATTTTGAGGGACATATACATAGTAGTCGTTACTTGCAGTAGTTGGGTGACATTTTAAGTACATTCAAATCTTTATGTAGTTGATTACAAACTACATATTCATTGCATTCTCCTGACATTTCTTGCATACAGTCTGGCACAGTGCCTCGGCTTCTTGGCCATGGTTGTCATTTAATGAGAGTCCCCTGCTATTCGATTAAAATCCCCTCTGGTTTGCGACCAAGATGTCTGTGATCAAATACTATATGGCTATTAATAGAAGTTTAGCATTTTCCTGATTCCGCCCCAACATTTACTCCATATCCTCTCCTTTAAACATCCTCAGGCTGCCTAGGTGAAGACTGGCCTGTCCTAATCCCTAAATCAAACACACCTACACTTTAATGAGGAAGAATATAGAGAGTTCTACACTGGGTTAAAGCACTTTGTAATTAGTAATAAAAAAAAATCTGGTGCTCTTTGAGGGTGGGGCAAATAGTCACATAAATATAAAACACACGACGACTGGCCAACTCACTCAGTGTAAAAGTCCATGGTACAGGCAGCCAGTCCAAAACTGCATCCGAGGCACTCTGACTGTCGTTAAAAATCCTTTTCATGGATAAACCAATATGTTTCAACTGGAGGGTGTGAAATGCATTGGAAAGAGGTGTGCAATTTAAGAGCTCATGTAGGGGTCATGTGACACTGGTCACATGATACACTGGTGTAGTCCTACTAGACAAAATACACATTGAAAGAAATTATGATAAAGATCTCTCTAGTCAAAACTATTTGGTTTATCCATGTATTAATAAAGGACTTTTAACTACAGTCAGCAGAGTGCCTCGGATGTATTTTTGGAATAATTGTACCATGGACTTCTACACTTTATACACCTACACTTAACTCGGATTGTAATTATTTCCATTGGTGTAGTTTGAATGTCGTTGAACTACTTTTTGAAAATAGTTTTACTTTGACAAGCTAAACATTTGTGAGAGTATTTAATATACAGTTTAACTACTTTTCATTGTAAGTTAGCTAATAATTTTGTAAACTAAAATTTTAATGTAGTTTCCCCAAAATTAAGGAATGCCTTGCACATCTCTTTACACACAGGTGTGTAGGAGAGGGACAAGACTAAAACTCGTAGAAAAGATTCCCAGACGCTGTCTAACTTGCAAAAATTTTTGGTTTTTAATGCTGCTGCAACGTTTTGGTGACTGAGTTTGCAATCAGTCACATTACCCACATGCAGTGGGAAGGCTACATACCAAATATCAATTAGTTAACATTTAACATGAAGATTTTTTTAGACCCAACCTTAATTTTTAAGAATTTTTGATAAGAGCCCACTGAGTTTATATCAGTGGCAGCTGCTGGTCTTTCAAAGAGGGGAAGCTCACTTTAAGTTTACAACATAACATTTGTCATATTGTAGCGAGGCAGTAACTTATGAAAGGAACATTTAGATTTGAAGCCGTTTTTCAACCACACTCATGTCATAGAACCACAGCAAAACACACCTCAAAGATTTTCAGATGGGTTTGAAAATGAGCTATATCGCTTATGGAAATAAGGAACTCCGGACGGCACTCTGTCAGAAGACTCCAGTCGCAAATATCTGCATGGGACTGAGCTCGAAATGCAACGATGCCGGTGTGTATTTCCAAAGTGCTGTCAATCACAAAGGGGTTCAGCCTTTTAGACAATTCCTCCAATCATTATGCATAGACCGAGCCTCCTCTCCCGCCTACAGCTACATTAGGTCCCAGGGAAGCTGAGCCTCCCTGGAAGTGACGATTTTGTGGCATTTATCCAATGACCGTCTCGCTTTGCTGCATGAAAAAAACTTGCTCAGCGTTGTCTCATAGGAATGCTTGGAGGCTCCGCGTCCACCGTGCTGATACGAGAAGGTATGACAGGGAGGTTGCGTTTGAAAACTGGTGATAAACAGCTGACGTTTGAACATCATAGTCATGATGTGAAACGCATCCTAGCACACGTTTAATGCAATGTAAATTCTTATTTGAATGTAAATTCAATAGTGCATATTTGACCATTTCTTCTATGAAATTTTGGGGGAAGTTCAGCATCCCTTGTTGTCTCAGAGCAATTGCCCCTGGTTTATAGGATACGGCCTTGGTACCTAATGTTGTCTAATGTTAACTTTTTGGGAGTATGTTTAAGATTGTCATGAAGCTTTTTTCTAATTCTATTTATCGATTCATCTATTTCTATGTATAACATTGATTGTTAACATTGATGTTTGGTATTGACGTCTCCCTACTGTACACGGGTAACTCACAGCCACTCCTACTTAAGATGGCTTCTCTTTGTTACAAAACTGTTTGCCTGATGATGATCTAGTCATAGTTATTTTTGCAAGTTAGACAGAGTGCAGGGGTCTTTTCTACAATGTAGTTTCCCCAACACTGCTTTACTAGTTCTTCAATCAATGTGGGAGAAAATATGAGAGACAGTGTAAAACTATGGGCTGTATCTAACTGTTGGATCTTGTTGTTGTAGCAGGGGGTGGTATGGTAGACAGGAACCCTGGTGAAGTAACACATATACTGTAAAATGAAACATAGCTTAAAGTGACATATTTTTCTTTAAAAACAAGGTCTAAAAGTCTAAAAGTCTAAAATAGTGATTGCCAGTGGCAACTTCTTACAACAGAATATTGACAAGCAAAAAAAGGAACTGCAATGGGACAACACTTTACTAAAAATTGTGCACTTCTGGCTGGTTTTGCAGTTTTAAAGGAGCAGAACTGCGTGGAGAACAGGAACAAGATGTAACAGCTTGAAAACACTAGACAGCACATGGGTCACATTTTAAGGCTTAAGCTTTCCACATAGGGTATGTTGATTTCTGCAAGGCACAGGCATAATTACCCAGCTGAGAGGAGCTAATGTGCAGTGCATTTATAGTTTTATTCACTCCAGCTTACAGATGTCAGACCGTAACTTTGAAATTGCATCATTTTTAACAGCCTATTATCAGCAAAACACATTTGCTGATAATACACAAAACAGCTTGAAATATGTAGATTTAGAGACTTAGTAGAGTATTCCCTTTGAAATAGATTCCTACAAGCGTTCACCAGGATCAGTCTAGATGTAAAAAATTGTGGTTAACGTAGGCAGAATCTAAAGCTCTTGATCAGCATGTTGTACAATGTGATTGGAAACCAGATATAGCAACATGCCCTAGTATGATGGTGCATTGTTGGCTAAAAACCAATCTTGGCTAAACCCTGAGTTCTTCAGACTCATGCACTGAAAAAAACATGAAGATGGCGTCCTCAAGGCCTGCTAGCGGGCACTACAGTTTTACAAACTACCTTATAGCCTTGTACTAGCGTACTTGCTGAAACCATAATTTCAGATCTACCGAGAGAAACTGATCTTTTTTTTCTTTTACATAACAAATGTCTAAAGCGTTTCTATTTACGCAGCAATATTAGGCACAGCTAAAACACCACAATTACACCTCCCTCTGTGACTCTGTCCACAGTCCATCCGAGAAGTGACAGGCTATGTGTTGGTGGCCCTGAACCAGTTTGACTACCTGCCTTTGGAGAACTTGAGGATCATCCGAGGGACCAAGCTGTACGAGGATCGCTACTCCCTCGCGATCTTCCTCAACTACCGACGTGATGGGAACTTCGGCCTGCGCCAGCTGGGTCTGAAAAACCTCACAGGTGAGTGGTTGAATTATGTTCGGGTTACTCACGTTTCTCTGTGCTGTGTCTAGTTGTGGGTATTTTGGTAATTATGAGTACCTTTTGAGCAAAGAAGTAGCCTGTTAGTGAATCATGGTGCAACTTCATCATGAATCCAGATCAGACATTTAACATCATACTCCCTCACCTCCCAGAGTGTGAGCGCATGTTTATCCTTTCATTCACCACCTGCTGGGAGCTCCTAACAGGTTAGGACAGCTGATGATGAGATGCTTTTACTCCTCAGCCTGAAATTTAGACCAAATGAGTATCATTCAGGAACTTAAAGGAATACTTCACTCACAAAATGATCATTTGTATATCAGTTACTCTCCCTGTGTTACATTAGAATATTGAAGAAAACTGTTTTTCTTGCACACCTCCACAGTGAACGAAGAAAACACGGAGGCCACGTTTAACAGCAGCAAAACTAAATCAAAATATTCACCGACAAACTCACACAACTCGTATAATTGAATTGAATGCACAGTACTTCCCAAACACATGCATTTGTGCCAAAACCTTACTATTTAATACAGTTTCGCAGAGGAGTAGTGTGCATTTGAGCTCTGCTCATGCTTTCCATCGAGCAGAATTCAAACGCACTCATTTGCCTGGGCATGCTACTCATCCGTGTGTGAGAATGTTTGTACTGACGTGTTTTAAACTGTAATGTTTTAGAGAAATGCATGTGTTTGGGAAGCACTGAGCATAGGACCGGATAAATGAGACTTGGATTATACTGCACGAATTGTGTGAGAGTTTGTGAGCAGATATTTTTAAGTTTTCCTCATGAATTCAATGTAACACCAGGTGAGTAATTGATTTACAAATGATCATTTTGCGGTCAAAGTAGTCGTTTGAGTTAGTAAGAGCTGATAACTGTCAGATGCTTATTACGGGCCCAGGTTTTGCTTATGCAGTGAGGCACACTGCCCAGCATGACTAAAGCAATCTGCTCCAAAACTTGTATGTAATGTTGATTTTTATAATTGTTGACTTGGAAGCCGTCTCAGCAAATGGAGGCAATCCACACATCAATGCGAGCTTAATGAACTGCGAACAGAGAGCGATGGTCAAATTGAAACAGAATGATATTTCGAAAGCTATTTTTAGACTTTTTTTTTTTGGCTTTAAATGCTTCACAGACTCTCTCCTGAAAATTCATTATTCACTTCACTCACTTCATTTCCTTGTTTCAAATTGCTATCGTTAGAGTTAATGATTTCAAAAAGGTCTTACAGCTGAATTCAACAGTGATTAGATCCCCTTGTTTAGTCGCAAGTGTTACTCAATAGTTGCTTGGTGAAAGGTTGTCTACCTGCTGCTTTTGAAACTATGCAGACTTGCAAAAAGGTACTGGTGTTGTTTCACACTGATCTAACAATAAGCTCGTAAAAATATCCCCAGTACCACTGAGAAAATGAGGGGGGTGCTTTCAAAAAATATTTTGCAAAACACAATAATGGTGAAACACTGGTTGGAGGGTACTTTGTGCATTTGCATTAATACATTGGCCAGTGTGCTGGTAGTTGTTTACTGGTTTCTGTCACCTTGATGCAAAATGGAAACATAGCAGACAGTCTCCCTTTTCTTCTTCCAACTGGTGCCGTTATCACAATTAACCCTTTCACACTAGGGATATGATGCTGAGTCGCAGTGTTGTGAAAAGACGTTATCGCCTCTGTTATTTCCAGCCATCGCTCCTGCTCACACACAAAGTGTTTCTCGTCTGATTTACAACCCACTCTGCAATTGACCCAAGCCTGTTTCCTCTGAAGTTGGAGAAGACAGTGAATGTGATTGCTGATAAATAGCGTACTCTAAGTAGGAAAACACTGTGTGGGTGGCTCTGTCTCTTTGTGAACAATGGATCCTTGTGCTGCTGGCTTTCCTTCAGGCGCCCTGACCCTGAGGTCAGTAAGAAATGAAGCTTTTGACTTGCAAAAGAGATGTAGAGCTTTTTTTTTCTAATACGGGGCTAAGTGGGGCGTGCTGGGGCCAGCCCTAATGTGTGCAACACAAGACCAGAGGTGTTACTCACTCATTTTGAAGTTAAATCCAACCTCGCAAATCTTCAGTGACTGAAAAAAGACAGTGAATCAATTTGTGTTTTGGTTGAATAACCTTAAGTCCGTGTGTTATCACTAAGCCCTGGTCAGTTGTGTTTAGTCCCAAGGTGCAAACACTGCCATGTTTTTTTCTTTCCTTGCCCTTCAGTGCAATCATTGCATGAATTATTTTGCTTATTATCTTTTACACATAGGGAAGAATGATAAATGAGATTTGAATGATTTATTAGGCAGCTTCACAAAGTGCCATGCATGTCCTTGATGATGAGGAATGTCAGTAAAATGTGCTTTGAAATTACTTTTGCTGCTTATTTCTCAACGGGGATGAGCTCCCAGTGCAATCAGACTGGACTGGTTGCACACAGTGCACTGAAGCTTGTTTCCAGCCAGTGATGTTTTGGGAGCATAGTACACAAATGAATGAATAAATGTTACATACAAGTATGATTACAAATATGTCCAGGACATTGACACTGATGCAACATGAGAAAGACACTGTCATCAGAATTCAAAAGCACTGGGAAATTACAATTCATTCTGAGACTAAGATTTATTTAGATTTGTGAGGAAGCATAGCACCGAGCTTGTGTCTCTGCCGCTTCCAAACCCTCTTTCTAAATAATTCAATTGTCTCTCATTGTTCTCTTCAACTGTTCCTTCCTGGTGATCCCCCAGAGTCGAAGGAAGCGACACAGCCATCCAAGAGTGTATGTGCAGCACAAGTATGTGCTTGCGCATTATGTTCCATCTTGTATTTTTCTTGCATGTTGCGCCATACTTAGGGAATTGCGTTTGTCCAGCACCACAAGCAGCTTTTTTTGCCAAGCCGGTCCTCTTCATTGTGGTGCCAAGTTGAAGCCAGTGCTGAGGGAGCCCGGGCTGGACTCTGTGAGAAGCTGCTGTTTGATGTGCCATCCGTGGCCTCGAGCCATGAAGTGGAGGGGAAGTTATGCACAACAGTCATGGCCTGAATCTGCTCTACTTCATAGCTCTGACTGTTTGTATTTCACCCTACTATTTTTCATTCTTGCTAACAGATACGATTGAAAAGAATCTGCTCACTTTCTTGTTAAAAAAAAGTGTTAAATGGAGCAATTTGTCTTGTTTCGGAAGATTGTCTTATTTTAGGAGGCTTCACTGTTATTACAACATGGCAAACAGAGCTCTCCAGTGCTCCCCTCAGTTTCTAGTGATGAAGACTTGACCCAGGATGCAAATCAGGTCCAAATTACATGCAGTCTAATTGTGTCCAGATAGACTGTTGTGCTATTTCTCAGGGTTTATTTCCAATCATAGGTTATGTGTTGCTTCATTGCAGGAAAACAATATTGACTTTTGAGGCAATGTAGAGTGTAAACTGTGAAGCTACAAATCTTTTGGCCTGTGGCTGCTCATTAATTGGAGGTTACCAGTGTTAGTATTGTCTTTTTGAGTCTGTTAAGCCTTTTCCTCCAAACAGTTTCAGTAGGGTTCCAAAAGTAACCCTACAGACATGGTACCTAGACCTTAGGTCCACTTAAGGCCCGTTTCCACTGAAGACGTTTCTGGTACTATTTGGGGGGCAGGAACTTTACAGGAACATCCTCTCGCTCTGCCCTCTCAACCGCCGTGTCTCCACTGAGAGGGCGGAGTAGGAGGAAGGTTCCTGTAAAGTTACCGGGCTCTGGTTGTGACGTAATCATTGCGCACCCTGCTGAGTTTTAAAAATGCCGGCTATTTTCTTGCTTTCTGTTGACGTCACATCCCGCCTTGAGTATATCCAATCAGCACCAAGTAATCCCCAAGCCCCACCCAGGAGTTTTTCGGGGCTGTTCTGAGTATCTACTCCGAGGCAGGGACTTGTTTAGCCCCTGTAAAAGTTCCGGAACTCTGTCCTTCGGGGGTGGTTCCTGCGGTGGAGACACGCACCCACGGCCCCGGCCCCGTAAAATTACCCCGAAGTTCCGGCAGTGGAAACGGGCCTTTAGTGTTTCCACCGTGACTAGCACTCTTAAATGTGGGTGGCATTGTTGTCACTCACTGCTCCATCCAGCACTCACTGTATTGCCTCATTACCGGTAACACAGATACCAAAAATGGTACCAAAAATGGGAAGTACAGAACGGTTTCATCGGTACCATCCACAACTTTTCATAATGGAAATGGAAAACAGTGTACCGATCTGAACTGTACCGTACTGCTCGGTGGAATCAGGGCTTCAGACTCGACCTGGTTTTGGATAGGACCTAATCATCCTTGAGTCTATTTCACACTAGACCAATGTAATCTCAATAAACAGATATCTGCAATGCAAAGTCAGTAGGCAGCATTACAAGATTTTGGTATCCGAAGCATTCTGGTTTCCGTCTGTAGTATTGACCAATCAAGTTTGAGTGGCAGGTTAACAGTCCACGTGGACAGCAAAAGATGAAGAACACATGGCCCGAAATGCAATCTCGGAACCAATGGCTGTCGTCTGATGACAATTCATCTTTTTACTAGCTTTTTTTATTTATTCATCTTATTCATATGCAGAAATCTGTTTACAGAGATAAACCAAAAAAGTCAACGGACAGAAGAAGAAGTCTTGGCCTTGATGTCTGTTGGCTACTCTAGGTTCCCCCTCACCATATTGGTCGTTGCCCCCAGAGACTTATTGACGTCAAACTGATAGCCAGTTTTGAGACAGGGATAGATGGGGCTGTTTGGGATCAGGTCCAAAATACCAACTTACTGTATCACAGTATAACAAGAAACTTGTCTTGGAGGGTCCATCACATCACTGCTTTTTGCACAGATGGTCCTGACAGCTAAACAAGCTCTTGCTGGGGGGGAGAGAAACAAGTCACATGTGTCCCAGTTTGTTCTGTTGCAGTTGTCATCATTCTACAGTGTAGTGCTGAGGAAGGATATAAGCCTAAACCATCA